TCAGCACAATACTCCAAAACCAAATTGTATTATGACTTCTCTCAGGCTGTAGACAAGTGAAGGACAAATAATGTGTTATGTCATTTGAATCAAATGACTACATAACTACATCATTTGTATTATATCTACATGCCATTTTGATGTTACTATACTTTTTATAAACTGTACACTCATTTCATTTATTGTTGATTCCTTCACTTGCACTTGCAGCCTTCAGGTCTAATTTTTGGTAAGAAACTTTGGTTTCATAACCTGTGAATCCATGATGAGTTTAATCACTCTTAAGATATAATTAATCTATGACAGTGGTTTTCAACCTGTGGTCCATTATCATAACTGGGGGTCCACAAAGGCTTGAAGAACTGTTATGATTAAAATCTTAAATCTTGGGGGTCCATGACCATGGTCCATGGCACAAAAGGTGAAGAAAAGGTTGCAAACCACAGACCTATGATAGTCATGGTCCAGATAAAATTTTAGATTTATTTTTTCTTTCAAATTCACTATCTCCAAATCGACTGCAGGATAATTTATATATAGTTTTATTATTACTAGAATCCAGTCATTTCAGTCTTACAATTTCATCTTTTATTTTTTGAATAGATTATATTGCTTAACATATTTCTGGACCTTATCAACTACTCATTAAAGCAGTGGTGGGATTCAATTTCTTTTACTATCTTTTCTGTGGGCGTAGTTTGGTGGGCATGGCAAAAGGATACTGTAAAATCTCCAGTCAGAGGTGGTATTTGTCAGTTCTCCAAACTACTCAAAACTTCCGCTATTGGTTCTCCAGAACTGATCAGAACCTGCTGAATATCACCTCTGCATTAAAGTAAGATAAATAATAAATGGAGATAAAGATAAGTCATCTGATCAAGCCAAAAATATTTAACCATTTCTTCTGAATTTGTAGGTAAGCTGAAATTCCTAAAAGTTTATCATTTGTTGGATTTCCTTGTTCAGTTTTAAATCAGTACAACATAGTCTGAGTTTTAAAAAGTGATGGAAGTAAAATTCTAAGGTAGTTTTTCTAATGCTTATGTCTTGCTCCTAGGCGTGTTTGCCTTGTACTCTGGACTGAAACCTACTATGATCCGTGCATTCCCAGCCAATGGGGCCCTGTTCCTTGCCTATGAACACAGCCGTAAACTGATGATGAACCAATTTGATAGCTAGAACTTTTATCACAGACTGATATCATTAGACTATGTGTAGTCACCACAATAATTGTCCAACTGTGAGTGACAGATTTTAAAATGTGAAATGGGAGTAAAATGACTACATTTTTTAAAAAACACGATTTCAGTAAAAATGCTGTATTTTCTAAACGTGTGCTTTGTGGATTTACATATCTAGATCAGCACTGATACTACATGATCTTATAAGGGATTTCAACTACTAACTTCTATAGAAATTTTAGTCATGGGGTTTTAAAAAAGAATATGCCGCAATAGCAGTTAACTATTAGCTTGCAACATAGTGACTGCACTATAAAAGTAACTTAATATGCTGGGAAGCTGAGCAGGAGGTATATTGTAAAGTAGTTTTTATAATGTCCCACATTTATTAATTTGTATACAATTGTACTTACTGGTTACTTGATTCTCACACACCAGAGAGCATTGGAAAGCACATTACACATAAATAGAGTTCAAAAAAAAATCACTTGTAATCCGGTACTCAATATTTCTTTATAATGTTCCCTGTTGCCAGAATACAGTGCCTTTGTTCTAAAACTGTTGATTAGAGAAGTTAAGGCTTTTTTTCATTCTTTAATGACATATACCGGTAATCTACACAAGCCTAAGCATTTATTTTAAAAGTGAAAGGTATTAATATCATCTGCTGTCTTTGGCCATAATCATGTTATATTTCTGAGTTGTAGCATATTATTATTAGTGATGTGGACAACAATTGGCTCAGCTTCTATAGCAATGCTTTGGAATGGAGTATAGTCTGCATTTAGCTCACTGACACTGCATCTGGATTCAACCTACAGAACAAGCATTTAGCTGAAACTCAATGCATTTCACAATATCCTTCACAAATAGGCACGTTACAGAGTAATTTTAGATGTACTAAATATTTTGGAATGCAGTAGTAGCAAATTCTGCATTACATACTAATTATGGAAATTCAGAGTAGTATTAATAACTTATTAAAACTAGATCTATGATTTTCAAAATTGGCAGCTTTAAGATGTGCAGACTTCTACTCCCAGAATTCCCCAGCCAGAATACTAGCTGGAGAACTCTAGGAGCTGAAGTTCATACCTCTTAAAAGTTGACAAGTATGCAATACACTGCAATAGACTATATAACTGAATACCTAATGTTGCTTGACAGGTTTGCAAACAGATGATCAGAAGATTTCAGAATAAAAATACAGCATATTGTTTTTGTGGATATCCTATACAATTTCCTGATGCTGATATACCATTTGAACTATGCTTCCAGCTGCCAATTTTAATCAAAAATTATATTTCATGTTATGTATTCCAATGTTGGGCATCGTAGTTTAAATGAAAACATAAAATTATATAAATCATACATTAAACCTAGGAGAAGCATAGGGAGAAAGCATTTCATTCCTTCATGATATTGTGCAGCAAACTTGAAGGAATTATATATATGAAATGACAAACCATCAGTGTGGAACTAATATAAATCTGCTGAACAAATATTCATGAACCAATATTACACTTTAACTAGATCAAAAGGTAGAATTTCTTGCTTGCCAAAGAAAACATGAAAGGTTATTTATAAGGAAAAATTTGGGGAGTTAATGTAATCGCTTACATGCAGTATCTATGATGAAGAAGCCATCATCATTATATATCATAAACTCCAGCCATTTTAAACAATGAACTTCTGTGGCAACTTTTGCTAACATAACATTCTCTATACATCCACCCCTATCATGCCTGGAAACTGAACTGTGAATTTAAAGCCTTCCCAGTCAATGCAGATTATGAAATTACCTGATCTGACAATGTTTGGAGTTCCTACATGTAGGATAACCATTAGCCCAAATATATCAGAAACTCAATAAAAGGCCATGGAATGGAGAAAGAGGAAAAAAAAGCAGAAAAAATCTTTGATCTCAAACCTTGGGACATCATGGCTGACACATAAATCTGATGAATCTGGCATTAGAAGCCATTACAATATACACTGCTCACAAAAATAAAGGGAACACTTCAACAACACAATGTAACTCCGAGTCAATCACACTTCTGTGAAATCAAACTGTCCACTTAAGTAGCAACACTGACTATCAATTTCACATGCTGTTGTGCAAATGGAATAGACAACAGGTGGAAAGCATAGGAGGTTAGCAAGACATCCCCAATAAAGGACTGGTTCTGCAGGTGGTGACCGCAGACCACTTCTCAGTTCCTATGCTTCCTGGCTGATAGTTTGGTCACTTTTGAATGCTGGCAGTGCTGTCACTCTAGTGGTAGCATGAGACGGAGTCTACAACCCACATGAGTGGCTCAGGTAATGCAGCTCATCCAGGATGGCACATCAATGCAATCTGTGGCAAGAACGTTTGCTGTGTCTGTTAGCGTGGTCCAGAGCATGGAGGCGCTACCAGAAGACAGGCCAGCACATCAGGAGATGTGGTGGAGTCCGTAGGAGGGCAACAACCCAGCATCAGGACGGCTACCTCCGCCTTTGTGCAAGGAGGGACAGGAGGAGCACTGCCAGAGCCCTACAAAATGACCTCCAGCGGGCCACAAATGTGCATGTGGCATGAGGGTTGTATGAGGGCCCGACGTCCACAGGTGGAGGTTGTGCTTGCAGCCCAACACTGTGCAGGACGTTTGGCATTTGCCAGAGAACACCAAGATTGGCAAATTCATCACTGGTGCCCTGTGCTCTTCACAGATGAAAGCAGGTTCACACTGAGCACATGTGACAGATGTGACAGTGTCTGGAGATGCTGTGGAGAACATTCTGCTGCCTGCAACACACTCCAGCATGACCAGTTTGGCAGTGGGTCAGTAATGGTGTGGGGTGGCATTTCTTTAGGGGGCCGCACAGCCCTCCATGTGCTCGCCAGAGGTAGCCGATCCTCAGCCCCTTGTGAGACCATATGCTGATGTGGTTGGCCCTGGGTTCCTCCTAATGCACAACAATGCTAGACCTCATGTGGCTGGAGTGTGTCAGCAGTTCCTGCAAGACGAAAGCATTGATACTATGGACTGGCCCGCCCGTTCCCCAGACCTGAATCCAATTGAGCACATCTGGGACATCATCTCTCACTCCATCCACCAACGCCACGTTGCACCAGTTTGTCCAGGAGTTGGGGGATGCTTTAGTCCAGGTGTGGGAGAAGATCCCTCAGGAGACCATCCACCACCTCATCAGGAGCATGCCCAGGCGTTGTAGGGAGGTCATACAAGCATGTGGAGGCTACACACACTACTGAGCCTCATTTTGACTTGTTTTAAGGACGTTACATCAAAGTTGGATCAGCCTGTAGTGTTTTTTTCCACTTTAACTTTGAGTGTAACTCCAAATCCAAACCTCCATGGGTTGCTAAATTTGATTTCCATTGATAATTTTTATGTGATTTTGTTGACAGCACATTCAGCTATGTAATGAACGAAGTATTTAATAAGAATATTTCATTCATTCAGATCTAGGATGTCTTATTTTTGTGTTCCCTTTATTTTTTTGAGCAGTGTAGTTAAGCCTGATCTCCAGACTCCCAGTCATAAACTGCTATTGGAAACTGGCCAATAACGCAGTCATTATTAAAATATTTTTAAAAGATCAAAATGTGAAATTGCTACTGAGTTTACAAAGGGGTGGGAACAAAAGAGAGTAGTAAAACTCTTTGAAGACCCTTTAATTGTCTTGCACACAATCCAGATGGCAAAATTAATTGTTGTAATCATGATAGCGCACTAGTCCTTAGTTTTATTTTTACATTCAAGGTGATTCTGCACATTGAGAAGTAGTAATCTCAATACAATTCCATATCGGGTGTGAAACCAGGTTACTGAATTATTATGCAATTCTCAGTTAAGTCTGTTTCTGCTTGCTTCAATCATGGATCAGTGAAAATTATCTCCAGAGCAAAATTATCTCTGAAGATCTTCCACATCTTTGACTTGTTCAAGTTATCGATTTCATTTCTTGGGAGGAAAAGTCTAGGGAAAAGAGAAAAAAAAACTAGTTCTCTTATGTAAATGATTTAAACTAATGCACAGAAAAGTACAAAATATTTTTCTTATATCACTGAATTTTGAAATAATAGAATATAGCCTATTTATTTTATTTTCCCAGAAAAATATTCAACTCTTAAGCAACCCTTTGGTTCCCATTAAGAATACACGTGCCTGTCTCCTGCGCATAGATGGTGCCATTGCGTCTCTGCAATGCTATCATTCACCTCCAAATATTACTCATAGAAAGAATGACAAGTGTGTCACATCTAAGAAAGCTGAATTTTCAAGCACATAAAACTCATACTTTCATGAGTATTGGTACTCAGCAATGCTCATTTATGATGTCTCAAATAGATGCAATTGGGAGGGGAACCTGTATAAATGCCCCCAAGTAAGTAAATATAAATAGTTTAAGAAGAGCATAGTTTGGGAAAAGAATATAATAGCTTGAATGCAAAATAAATTCTAGCCAACGCTAAATGTATTTCCAAACATTGGCAAACAAGCAATATGAAACATAGTTTAACAGATTAAAGAAAGAGAGAAATAACACTTTCAACATAAATTATCCCCTTGCTTAAAAACCCTAAGGTGCCACTCTAGTATTTTGGATCTGTTACATGGCAAATACAGTTATTTATCCGTAGTGACAAACTGAATGGTACCACTGATGAATCATTTTCAAAAAAAAGAGTTGTGAGCTTTTACTAAATAATCACATAACTTTTCTTATAGGCTTAGTAAACTTTATAAATCCATTAAAGGAAAAACAGTAATAGGAACATCTCTCTACACTGGGGTCTTCAAACTTGACAGCTTTAAGACTTGTGGCCTTCAACTCCCAGAATCCCTCCTCCAGGCATGTTAGCTCAGGAATTCTGGGAGTTGAAGTCCATAAGTATTAAATTTGCCAAGTTTGAAAACCCTTGCTTTACATGGTAGAGGCATTTTTTTAAAGCTGGTATTCTCTGAAGAGTTGGCTCACACTAAGCAATATTAAATGGCAGGCCTCTTTTTCTCAACAGACTATCTCCCCAAAATACACAACCCCTTAGAAATAAAGAAACACCTGTCTCTTTCTATGCAGACTTAAACTAAGCTTCTATAACCTAAAGTCTCTTATACCCTGGCTCATAGCTCTGGGTGCATTTTGGCTTTCTTTTCCAGTACATATGTGCTTTCAAACACCACAACTTACTGATAGTCCTGTATAAAAGCTGTGTGGAAACAAAAAAAAAAAGCACAGCCACCATAGCCTCTTGGAATATCCTACATTTAAAAAAAAAAGACAAGAAATACAGTTAATGCTACTTAAACATCAAGCCATCATCACAGCCAAACCATAGAAAGAACTGAAATCCATAATAAGATGTCTTAAACTGGCCACTTATGGTCAATTTATGGAGAGAAGTCTAGCAGCTTAAAGCTGCAAAACAGAAAAGTCTGAAGTTTTTTTCAATCCATATCAACAATTGGTCACTTTGAAGCATGTCTATATAATTTCCTTAATAACAATCTGGAAGTAATTTGCCACTCTTTTTAGAGGTTTTTAGTTTGGCATTTCCTGGTGGACTCCAAAACAGGCCTACCCAACTTAGCTTTTTAAAGTCAGCCAAGTTTCGTAGGTGGGTATAAGATCAGCAGGATGGTTAAACCATTTAAAGATTTCGTGACTGAGATGGAATGGAATGACTATTTCAACAAGTTACAAATGTGAAAGGTATGCAACAAAGTCACCATTTTTCAACTTACAGAAGTAGCTTCAAATCTGACTTTCACATCATTTCTGATGACAGGACAGTTCTTCAAACCAATTACTAACAGGTCATTTTCATGATCAAGGAACAACTGAAACAAAATAGATATACATCTTATTTTAATTCACTAAACGTTTCTCACAAAATGCAAGACTGTAATTTATTATTTCTTTTTTCATGCACTGAAATCACCACAAAGGAGCTTGGAGGGAGGTTCAGCTCATTATCTGTTAATATTTCAATAAGTCTCTCCACTTCAGAGGACAAGATTATGTACGTGAGAGACTGACAGTCATATGCATATTGCATTACCCATTTTGGCTCAAAAGGAAATTTTAAGGGTAAGAAGTCATGCCATAAAACTGCCATTTAGCTCTTGAACAGATTGTAGTTCTATAACTATATAGCCACATGCAACATTAGGAGTTCTCTATTAGTGCTTTAGGTAATAATTAGCTCTCCTCTGCAGCTTTTCCTAATTTGCTTCTCAAAAGTTACTTCTCTCAGGGCATGAACATTAAAAATACATTCTTCTCTGATTCTCAGATAGATCAGTGCCACCTCTAGTTAATTTATCACTATTTGTGGGAACTTACCTGACATATAATCATCGAACAGCCTTTCTGGGTGGTAGTCAAATAGCATGCTAGCTATTTTTGTAAAGAACTGCAAAAGGATCTGTTTTTCTCACAACACAGCCAAAAGGAATAGCAGACGCTGCCATATTGCAAGTCAGATTACTAGCGTTCCTAGCATTTTCTTTTTTATACTGGTTCTCCAGGATCTCAAATAAGAAGTTTCTCCTCCTCATTTATAGACACTTCAGACTGAACTGAAACAAATACCTGGTGTGCATTCCCCTAAGTATGGCCCATCTCACTACTTTATTCATTACTGCTCATTTGGAGTGGTTCAATCAGGGAATTCAAAGCAAGGATGCATCAGTTTCCATTGTAGTACACAGATCTCATGGGACAAATGGGAACTCTATCAACAAATCCTGGCCTTCATGACTGCAGGATTGTTAAATTAACATGAAGCTCTGACCTTGCAGTTCATCTGTATTGCGCAATTGCATTGAAATGCTACTTCCTTCTTCATGTTTATCTTTATTCTGAAATCAGTCCCATTGCCTTTACCAACTCCTAAAGAGGGGAAAGAGGAGAATTGGAGACAAGACGTGCATTAGATAAATACTGGAACCAAACAATGGAATTCACATTTTAAACCAAAAATATCCTGTGATGTTGCAAAACGATCAGCTCTTTCATCTCCTAGTCTTTTCCAATCCAGTTTAAAATGCTCTCAAGATTTATTTGGACTGTTCTGACAACTTGACTATTTAAATGCTGGGAATACAATAGTATTTATAGGTTTGCTAATCTATAATTCATTGAGAACCATCAATCAATCATTCCTAGATTGCTTTACTTTCAAGCTGGCCAATAACTGCATTTTACTTTATCTACATCATTGTGGGGCGGAGATGCAGCTATAGTATGAAGGAAAGCTGTGCAATAGGGAGATAAATTGCTTTAAAATTGCAGGTGCATTGCTGCCTCATAGCAGCAAACTTGCTTTCCAACCTCTGAAACTTGCAATGCTGCTAAACCACCACTTCTGTATTTGTGCAAGCATATTTCTACAATGGGAAACCCAAATGTGCAAGCATATTTCTACAATGGGAAACCCAAATGTGCAAGCATATTTCTACAATGGGAAACCTAAAATGCTGAGACAGGTTGAGTAAAGAATCTCCACCAAAGAGGAGCACAGATCTCTTGAAACCCAAGGCAACTGGTCAGTTCACTTCCTAAAATGACATCAGTGGGCTAAAACAGCACCCACACAAGGATATGTTGTAGCTGCTACCCGGCTAAAATGGATGGCTGAACCTGTGTGAAATAGTCTGAAGGGTTTGAACATCCTCTTTTTAAGATGATACTGGTCTGCTATAGATAGCGACTTTCATGGAACTCAGAAGAGAAACTACAGGGATTCCAACTCATAAAAGTATCCTAAACAAATCTAGCGTCTTCATGTCAAGTTTGAAGAAGGGATAAAAGAAAGCTGAGCATAATAGCCAATGTATTATCCTGCATAAATGAATACAGACTTAACAGCCAGAGAAAACAAACTAAAAATCTAATGCAAAATTTTGTTTTACCTATTTCTACAAAAAACTAGTGACTCTTAAATCAGATGTTGCTTTATTTTATTTTTTTAACAAATTTTATTCAGTTTTTCACATTAAAAACAAAAATCTCTTTTTAGTGGACAATATATTTCCAGGTCATCACACAAATATGTCATTACATACAAATATGACAGCAATTATACATTCATATATGCATACTTAATTCTATTATTACCTTTTCCATTCCAAATTTTCAGTAAGGAGAGAAACAAACACATTAATTCTGGCCTCTTTCATTAATCTCAATCGAAAATTCTTTTTGTTTCATATCAATTATTTCAAATATAATCCTTTAATATTTATTTTAAAAATAAAGATAAACAATATGTGTTTGCCTAATAATAATGATGATGATAATAAAAAAGTTACCAATGTCTCTCCTTGCTTTTAATAGTCTATATTAACTTATTAATTTAGTTGGTTTTTTAGTCTGTCATATTCCCTTTCCATTACACATTCTTTTTATAAATTCTAGATTAATACAAATTTTAACAAAGAAAAAAAAAGTATAGGTTTCCCCCCTTTTACTGCTTTGAGTGTGACACCTCAATGATTAAAATATACCTTTATTCCCTCATCTTGATTTCCAATAAACCATTATCTTTAAGAAGTTAAAATAATAATCATTACATCTTTTCATTTGGATTCAGCAGCATATTTTTCCCCCTTGATTTTTAATAAGAGTTATTGGTATCTATATTACCCTATTTTCTAAATATTTTTAATTGCAGAAATATTCTTATTACTCCTTGTCACCCTGCAGAATCCCCTTTTTAATTCAACAACCATTATCTCTGAAAAAACAATTTCTTTTCAACATTTTACTATTTCCGTATTTCTTTATTTCATGCACCTGTTTCTTACTGCTTCTCCTCCCCCTCTTTTCCCCATATCTTTTCTCATTCCAGTTTATATCCTTTCTTAATATCTTCCTTTCCCCTTTTCTACTGGGTCTTTCTGCCTTTCCCAACTTCACAGGTATTCCCCCTTTTGATTGCCTTCTTAAATCTCAACTTTTTAACTTTCCTTCTTTCTCCACTTCTTTGTAGTGTTCTTTGTGTTAATTGTCTATTTAAAATGTCTTCTCCTTGAATTGACTCCTCCTCCTCTGAAGCTCTTTCTTCTTGTTCTTCAATCGCCGTTTCCATTTTTTCTAACACAGAGCAAGGTGATTTGCCTCTTTCCTGTAGTAATTCTCTCATATTTTTAAGTTCCATTTTTAATTCCCGAAGAAATATCATTACATACTCTTATATTTTATGATCGTTAAAGTCCACAAAAAAAACCACTTTTACTTTCCTTCTTTCTTCTTTCAGTTTTCTAAGGTTCTCAGTTATTCCAGTCCAGGGTTTATACCAAAAACATCAATCAGTCCCACAAACAGTCTTTCCTTGCTTTGTGCTTTTTTCTGGTTCTGCTTTCACTTTCTAAGATTCTTACTTTGTTTCAATATTTCTGTAATGTTATATCCACACAAGTTCATTCAAAAACAGGATGCTTTCCCTTTTATTTGAGCCAAATTTTTGTCAAAAGGTGACACTCGCCATTATACAAAGTCTTCACCTTTTCCCCCTATTTTTTTATTTAGGGTTTTTCGAACCTCTATATTCCAGCACAGTCCAGTCTCCAATTTGTAAACTTTATTATTATTATTATTTGACAATCTTAAGTCCAGCTTTATTTTATGCCTGTTTATTCCCAAAATATTTTAGTCCAATTTAGTTGAATCTTTAGTTCCAGCTTCTTTTCCCGGTTCGAAGCCCCGCTTAGCTGTCAAAAATATTTTCTTTTTTTTCCCCTGTCCCTTTGTAATTTCTCTGCTCACTTTTCTTTTCTTAAAAATCCCATGTTACCTTAATCTTTTGTTTAATTGTATTGCCCAGTTGTCCTGGTTCAGATGTTATCCACCTCTTTCTTCCCTCCTGCACAAATCTTAATCCAGCTGAGTCCTTCTCTTCGGGGTGGCCATTTTAAACCACTGCTGCAGTCATCTTCGGGGGGAAAAAGACCAAGCCCAGGTGGGGAGATGTGGCTCCCCTCAACCTGGCTTGCAGCTTCCCCTTACTCCACCACCCCTCCAAGGCAGCTTCAGCCCCTAATCATAATGATCGGGGCTCTCCAACAAAAGAGCACGGACCATAGCCACAGAGTCGTGACCTACAGTCCGTCAGCGAGGAGGCTCTGCCTTCTTCCCAGATGTTGCTTTATTTTAAGCGGTGTAAAAAAGGGAAAGGGGAGAAAGGGAGTTAAAAACTTAAGCATTGAAGCAACAACCTCCCCAAAAAAGAGTAATTTGAAAAGTAATCATAATATCAGGAAGAAGTAGAAGGGAGGATCACAGATGGGAGAATCAGATAGAAAAGGGAATAAAAAGGGGAAGGAGAAAAAGAGAGGGAAGAGGGAAAGGAAAAGAAGCTACAAAAGACAGAAACAAGATATAGAGGTACAGGAAAAGCATACAAGAATTAAAGGTATAAACCTATTTAAAACACAGAGACAATGGTTAAAATTTTACTTGAGAGGATTCTGCAAGGGTGCATGGAATAGCATGGTTATATTAGAAATAGAAAAGGGTTAGAAAATAGGTTAGATGATTAAAGTGATAGAAAAAAATTCTATTGATGCGTAGTGGAATATTTGTAAAGAGAATAAGGCTCTCAATGATTTAAAAAGGAAGTTTTAAAAAAATTGGAAAGAAACATGGAAGATTTTTATCAGTTGACAAGATGAATTTGAATAAGAATAATAATTTTATTGACTATTGTTAATTACTATTGTTTGGTTTTTTATTTAAATAAGTAAACATAATATAAGTAAATATTTAAATAAGTAAAATATGAAATATAGATGATTAAAGTGAAAGACAGCTGATATTACTAGGTAATGTTTGTTAAAAGAAATAGAAATGTAAAAGATTGTTATTGATATTAATGGCAGAGCTGTACTTGAATAGAATAATTATTCCATTTACTACTGTTATACAGATATACAGATACTTATACATGTATACTTTTTTCTTTTAAGAATTTAGTGTGTAATTTTAAGGGAATGTACCAAGCAGAATTTGATTGAAAATAGGTATGTGTTATAAAATAGAGGTTAGAAAATGAATGTTGTAACTGTAAAGGTGCAACTTAAATTTTTAAACAAGATTTGAAAAAAAATACAAAGATGTTACACTCCAGTCTAGTAATTACAGGGAAAAATTTGTTTTATGAGAAAAGATAATATGAAATTGTAAACAGGACAGACGAAAGTATAAAAACACTGATTAGAAAGATTTTAAAAATTAGAAAAAGATATCTAATTGAATTAAGAAAGGAATTAGATAATTTAAAATAAGGCTATAGGAAGTAAAGAAAGGGAAAAGCTATTGAAAAAATGTGAAAATAGTTATAAGATATGGATTAGGATGTATAAGATAAATATATATTGAGTTTATGTCTGTATGGAGAAGAGATAACCTGGGGGCACGCTGTTCTCAAAAAAAGATATTTTATTTGTATTTGTATGTTTTGTGAAAACTTAAATAAAACTTTTATTTAAAAAAATCAGATGTTGCTTTGACTAAATTACTTAGACTTCTCCTGTGACTTATAAACATATCAGCCATTTAATAGGGACTGTTCAAAGAGATGGTAAACTCCACTCTTTCCCCTATATATTCTTTCTATAACTTCGTTCCAAGTTTTTTCCCCCAAGTCCTTGTTTGTTTTTTAAATTCTACTTCCAACAGAGGGAGATGGGGCAGTCTGATTCAATACAACCAACAGCCTTTTTTGTGTGTGTGGATATGAACTGACCAGCTAGAATGGGTTCAGCAAGCTGTAAATGTCAAGAATATTCAGCCTGACCATTCACAGACCTACTTTGACGGTATAGTACTAGTGATGGAAGGAACCGAATTGATCTAAGTGCTGATATTGCAGCATTAGCTGGAAAATCCCCTTCCTACAGCATTTTAGTGCCACTTACCTTGGATAGCATAGAGTTTTATGCATCTGATTCTGAAAGGCTTCTCTGGTGGGAGGATCAGGTTGTATTTTGATTTCAAGATTGCATAATATTCTACATACCTACTCTGCAAATAAAATTTAGGAGTGCCTTGAGACAAAAATAATTTTATAATCTATAATAAATATAATTAAAAATTCATATCTGTATAAAATAAAAATCTTAAGGAAAGCAAATGCCCTGCTAATCCAAAGGGGGAGGCTATTTGTCATGATATATGGCAAAGTTGTTGGGAAATGGAGCAAAGAGATATTGCCCAGGAAATACCCTGCAGTTGGATGGTAGATAGGGCAACAGGCTCAGAAAGGATCTTCCAGAGTTTCTCAGGAAATAAATGAAACAGTGGGAGAATTGTACTTTCAAACTTGCAAAACTGATGTCAGCCTTACCAAGTAGCCAGGCAGGAAGCAAGATCAGATAATCTAATTCTACTTCCTTGTGAATAATAGAAACTTGAAAGTCTGAAGGTACAGCCCAAAAAACTCCCTTCTGAGCCTCTTGTCCCAACTACTATCTAGCTGTGGGATACGCTGTTTCTTATCTGACCATTCTCTAGGTAGCATCTCTTTGCCCCATCTCCCAAGGTATTTCCCATATCGTTCTCTGATGTTTGACTTCATAAAGGGGGGTGGGGGGGAATTTAACATTCATGTCCCAAGTTTCGCTTAATCAAAACATGGCCAAAACCAAAGCTCATATAATTGAATGAAAGAAGTGAAGCAGCACTTGAGAAATGCAAGGTAAAAACACAAGATAACTATTTAAATTACACAGCTATTTTTTGCCAATCAATCGTGTTAGTTCTTTGATTCAACCTTACACATGGCTTCATAGTACATTTTTACCTGTGATGGAGTTTCAACACCCTGAAACTTGGTGCTAGTAGTTTCATCAGTTCTTCGTTTGCCAAAGTACTCCAAACTTTCCTTAAACATTGAGAATTATGTTACTATAAGTATTGTAGCACCTTAGAGTATTTAATAAGAACTAACTAGAAATCTTATATGAGAAAAAGTGCACAACTTGGGATTGGCAGAATGCCTCAGAACTACTCATTATTTGTGGGTAGCATACCAGAGCTATACTTCAGAAAATAGATGTGTCCAAGAAAACCAACTGGGAAGAGTGGAGCAATACTTAATTTGGATTTAGTTAAACATTTACTGTAATACATATTTAGCTATTTTTCCTTTTCAGTCACATTATAAATTACAATTCATAAGCAATTTTTGGAAGAACTCTATAGGCAGCACCTAAATTAATGCCACTTTAAATAGAATTCCAGGAGACATCCAAATAATTACAAGTTGGACAATTTAACATTTACTGCAGACAAACAGCTAAAATAGTAATCAGAGGAAGGGAAAACAGTTGGACACACATAGGAACAAACCTTGCTGAAGGAATTTCACACGGTTTCAGAACAGCAATACATACCAGGCTCTATTACATGAAGTCCTGGATATGGCAAATTCAAAGTCCTTATCAACATTGAACAAACAAAAGTTGCATACTAGGTGGTTTGGTCAAACTATCCATTTTTAATCCCATTTTATATTTGGAACCCACACAGAAGAAATTATGGGAGGTAGCACTTTTCAACACACTCTGCATAGTCATTTCACATACTTTAATTCATTCAGAAACAAGAGGGAAAATATCAACATTACTTTGGTACCTGCGCAGTCTTAAACTGGCCGGTGTCAATAAGCCAGATGCAAATCATAGTTCCAGTCCTACCTGCATCAAAAAGGGGAAATCAGTGACTTAGAAATAATGATGCTGTTGTGTTTACTTGTCCCCAAGAATGAGGCAATGACAGCATCAGTATTAAGCAACCCCACCCCTGCAGCTCCTAACAAATCTGAAAAGCACCTTCAGCCCGCACATCTACCACCAGGTGATGCAAACAGCTTTTGCAGACAGGTGCTATCAGTGAATGCTAAAACTATTACAGAATTCCCATGCATCCCAGGTAATGACTGATTCTTTAAGGTTTACAGAAGGGCTAAAATGACATTCCCCTTGAGCATGTCTGAAAGAGACTGGATCACTACAGTGCATTCTGCACAGGGCTATTTTTCAAGACCATGTGAGGCTATGATCAGCACATCCCTTAACTAATGCATTATCTGAAAACATTTTATCAGCCCTTCAGCAATAATACTGACAGCTGCTAGCCTCTATGCCTCTCCTGCACTATAAGAATTGTCAAAAGAGAGATCTTTGGGAATGCCTTCCAAACCACAAAGTTCACATACCTTTCCCACCTTTACAGTGTATTGCTATAACATTGCGGCTGTCCTGTTCCATCCACTTCCTGACATTGGCAGTGAATGTGAGCGTCTCCCTTAAAGAAAAGGAAGAATGCTTGTTTAAGAGCTTATCTAGATATTACTGTAGAAAAATTAAAATATTCGATCATTTATCAGAACAGCACAAGTCCATCTGGCAGTGGAATTTCTTACAGCCACACACCATTTCCATTTAAGCTTGTTTGGGTTGCCTCTGGAGATAAGCCACATGAAGCACAAAGTTCATAGGAGAGATTTTAAGGACTTCCCACTGGAAGGGGTTTTTGCTGCTCACAAGTGGAAACCAGCTGAACTTATTAACAGTCTTCTTTTCTGGGGAGTGGAGACAAACAGATTAGGCTTGGAGGGCTTTCGTGAAGAACGGCATTTTGAGAGATATTATGATGGATTATGGGAATAGAGGATCAGGATAGGATAGCCTGCTAGGGTGGCTTGGCAAGAACCAGACTTTTGAGCCCAGAGTGTGGGTGTATGGTTGGTTAATTGGCTTGTAAGGGAGGAATATGTACTGTGAGCACACCATTAAGGATGGTAGCCGGACGATCCCAGTAATGATGGGTTGAGGGGTATATGAGGAGGCCCAGAAAAACAATTGTGAGGAAGAGCAATCAATTTGATGACCATCCCTGCTTCCAGTGGGTTTGATTCTGGATTTATACTATCAGCCCTAAGGTAGACCAGACTAGGAAACTGAATCATTGCAGGCCAATACTACTTTTACTATAAAATTACAGTAACACAAACCTGCAACCTAAATGCATTCCCACCCACCCCAATTTATGAGATAAGAAAACATCTTGCATGAGATGTTTTCTCAGGTTACAATTTTGCCCAGGACTTAGACTTCTTTTATCTGACACTTATCTTGGTAGCAGCTCTTTCTTCTGTCCCGCAAGGTCATTCCTTCTTTCTATTACATCTACTAAGGTTGTGTTAGTATTATATTATGATACGGTATTAGGAAATACATATGTTACTATATTGATTGTTATTGTTATTTAGATTGCATATAATACAGGGATGGGATTCAAATTTCTTAACCGGTTCTATGGGCGTGGCCTAATTTGTGGGTGTGGCTTGGTGGTCATGTGACTGGGTAAGCGTGGCTTGCTGACTGGGGGTGGCTTGGTGGTAACACGACTGGCTGGGCATGGCTTGTATGTAAATATTGTAAATATTTATGTAAATATTGAATTTTTATGCTTGCAAGCAAACTCATAAAATTTGCTAACAAGTAAACTCATAAAATTAACTCACAACACACCATGTATGTAACTATTAAATTTTTTATTAAAAAAAGAACAACTTTTACCCAAAATCAGGTAATATAGTAACATATGTATTTCCTAATACCGTTTCATAATATAATACTAACACAACCTTAGTAGATTCCGGGCAGCAGGGATCAGAATGGGTGGAAAATGGGGCACACAGAGGCCAAAAATGGGGCGCACAGAGGCCAAAAATGGGATGCGGAGGCTGAAAATGGGGCATACGGAGGCAGCAACAGGCAATGGCAATCCCTGCAGCCTGAAACAGCTGATCGTCAGGAAGCCGATCCAACCGACAATCAGCTGCTTGTGCTAAGCAGGCTGTGCTGAAGCTGAAACAGGCTATTTGCTGCAAGGAAGCAAGTTGCTAGGAGGCAGAGGTTGGGGCCAGCGGGTGGGCGGAGCTTCAGCAACATATACTGTATAAGATGCACATGCATTTCTATCCTCTTTTGCGGGTAGAAAAAGTGTCTTATACTCTGAAAAATACGGTAAATTGAATAGTTTATAGATTTTCATAGGTTACATATTTTTATGGACTATAGATATATGCAAACTTTAATAAACTGGACTTGGTTTATTCAGCCAGTGGTTTTATATTTAATAATTTTTTTTATTTTATTTAATAAGCCAGTTGGTTTATTGTCAAATCTACACAGAACCATTGCAGAATCATACTTACGCTAGAGAGGGAACAGTGTGGTCATCAATAAACATCCGCTCCACTCTATAATGGAAAATCTCTGGGTCATAGCCTTGCTCACCTGCAGGAAAAAATATTATACAGATATTATGTATATAAACAGAGACAGAGTTCCATTAGGAAGATTACAAAGCAATACTTTGGACAAATATCTAGATCTTAAATGTCCTTAAATGCTACTTGGGACACTATGCACAATTCCCTTTGGGCATCTACATAACTCCATGCTCCACCTGATTTTCTTAATATTAAAATATACACGCAGAGTTTTTAAAATGGAAAACTATGTATTTTCATCCTTCTTTCATGAATATCTGAGTTCCTTAAGAAAATAAAAATGTTAAGCAACTTTAATCAACATGTTTAGTTTGGAGGTAAGCCCATCTGTTCAGAAAAAAAGCAACACTAAGCCAGGGCAATACAACATATCTAATAAAAGGAATACTAATAGCATGGCAGGTAACATTTTGGCAAACCTTTACTTTTGAAATTGATTATATTCCTGCCAGTCATCTTGAGAACAAGCAATCTTTACCAGCAATTGTTCTGCAGCAGCACCAATTGTTCTCAAAACTTTAAACGTATCTAATGCAAAAAGGCTGGCAATGTCTGATCTATAGCAAATTATATATAAATTTGATGTAAATCTGCCTCCACTCTAATTAGTCAGTGGAAGTTCCAGTTTTAACAATAGATTGGAGAAGAATTTTTTAAAATTAGCAACAAAAACATCTATAGTGCAGTTATATTTTTAGAATCAGATGTATCAAATTACAGTATGTATTTCATCTCAGTATTTAAAATCCAGCAGTGCATGGCCATTTGAAATGTCAATACCTATATGATTCATTAAATATACATACACAATGTTGCATGCTATTAAACTGTGTAGAAAAATAGCAAACTACATTTATTCCAAATTTATATTGGAGTTGACAGGATAGCAAACAGCAACATTTTCAACCCTCCTCCCTGCCATTATAATGAATTTTGTTGCTAACAGAAACTGTCTTCAGTTAACATCTAGTTTTTAGATAGGTAGTTGCCTAGCTACAGGTAGTCCTCAAATTATGACAATTAGGACCACAGTCTTGATCATTGAATGACATAGATGTTGTAAACTTAGAAAAGTTTGATTCAACACTTGCCACAATGAGGCCTGACATTAAGAAGTGAACTGAAAAAATCAGTCTATAACCGAAGCAGTTTTTCCCTTCTAGAGGTTTTGTACCTTCCATATGTTTTGATATTACAACATAAGAATTTCAGTCAGGAAGGTATTGAACCCACCAGATGGGAACCACTAAGTTGGGAAAACATGGAACTGAGGAAAACTAAATAAAAACCATTATGTTGAAGAGGTTAAAAATGGGAATATGAACGTATCTTAAGGCTATAAACAATGAGTTCTATATCATTCAGAACTTTATTTTAAAAGGAAGCAGTTACTGATTTAGTGTGGAGTGGTTAAGATATATGATACCCAGGTTCATGTTCTCCATCAGTTATGGACATTCACTGCATATCTACAAGGCAGGGCTAAGACTGAAGATAGTGAACGTCCTGGTTTGTGATTAGAGCAAATGCAGTAAAAGTTTTCCTGACTGCTCCAGTTTTGGTAACCAAGAAACAAAGTAATACTTACTACAAAGATTGTAGACTTTGTAGTGGTTTCCATGTTTTGTATCCAAGAACTTTGCAACTTCCTTTAAAAAAATAATAATATATTTTAATTGTCAAGGTGGCATGAATTATTACCAACTTTATGTAGCTGGTTTCAGACAGAAAGTATTTCAAGGAAGATTTAAATCTCAGATAGTGTTTTGGTGCCCATATAGAGACGTATGGCAACCTCCTACAATCTGACTTCTGCTTCCATAATTTCCAAGCAGTATGCCTGAGTGAATTATAAATACTGGTATTGCTAAAGTCCATCAATAAGCTAAAGCAGTACTCAGAGAAAGAGACAAACCGAAGTGAATATACTGCATATTCTTACAGAACGGTCCATCTGTTAATAAGCTTTTTTAATCAAAATGCTGTACCAAGAAAAATATGCCACCCAAAGGTAAGCCTAAAATTTTTCATATGCTTTAATTTTCACAATTTGCTTATCTTCAGCTGGCAAATTTCATGATATTTTAATTAAAAATTCGAGGGTCAGCTTATCTGTTTATATACAAGTAGTCCTTAACTTGCAACCATAATTGAGTCCAAACTTTCTGCTGCTCAGCAAGAATTTGCCTCATTTCATAACCTTTCTTGCTACAGTTGTTAAGTGAACCCCTCCAGTTGTTAAGTTATTAATGCCATTAAGTGACTCTGGCTTCCTCATTTGATTGTCAGAAGGTCACAAAAAGTGATTACATGATTCCAGGGCACTGCAACTGTCATAAATATGGGTCAATTGTCAAGCATCTGAATTTTGATCATGTGACTATGGGGATGCTGCAATAATGATGTGAAAAAAGGTCATGTCACTTTTTTCACTGCCATTATAACTTCAAACAACCACCAAATAAATTGTTGTAAGTCAAGGACTACCTGTACATGCATTTTTAAAAAGTACTACCATATAAACCCAGCCACAGATAAGCTGTACTCAGTTTTGGGGGTGCATATCTTTGAGTATATATGGATATGTGCTTATCATACTATAGTCCATAGCGTGGAGAACCTATAATAAATCTTCATTATGTGGATCATACTGATTTTTTATTCAAAATGCAGAAAGCATTTTCGCCTTATTTGCAAACTCAAAGAATTGTAATTTTCACTGCTAAATTTGATAACTGCTGAAGGAGCCAGATAGTCAGGATTATGAGGCCTGCAGAACTCACCAATTTAAAAGAGGAATTAAATACCATTATTAACAGAATAACAAAGTTGGAAGGGACCTTGGAGGTTTTCTAAACCAGGTCCCTGCTCAAGCAGGAAACTATATCATTTCAGACAATGGGCGTCTAATCTCTTCTTAAAAGCCTCCACTATTGGAACAACCATAATTTCTGGAGGCAAGTTGTTCAGCTGATTAATTGTCAGGAAATTTCTCCTTAGTTCTAGGTTGGCCTTCTCCTTGAGTAGTTATTATTTCTCATTACTTATCATTGAAACCCATTTTTTCATATGTTAAGTAGATGCTAAATCTATATCCGGATTCAGGCCAAAGCTTTGAGGAAAAAATCCTAAAGGCAGACTATCTTTTATTTTGCAATATAGCTTTAACTACCAAGATGTCTTTTCTTCTACAATTACCATTATTATCTCTTACAGTCATACTAAAATTAAACACAGCCAATAGTAACTGGGAGTGGAGGAAAACAAAGAGGAAGATTCACAGAGTAACAGAAATTATTTCCATTATCTTTTAATCTTTAGATTACCCCTATAGGATTCCTGTAGAAAGCTTGCTGCCCAGAAGATGGAAACGACATTGCTATAACACGAGCTAATGAATAGATACAAATAAGCAAAAAAGAAAGAAAATGTTAGATCTGCATTGTGAGACAAATGTGAGATTTTTCATAGGTTCACTACTTCGAGTCAGAGTCATGTGAAAAAGTAAGTATACCTAATTGGTTTTTTGTAATGTTTTTAACATATTTCAACATACAAATATTTGATCTTCATTTTAACAATGTTAATAAAGGAGATAAATTATTAGAAATATCATGCATTTACATTTTGGAGTACATTGTGTAATTTAAATAAACATAAATGCAAATTTTGCATATGGAAAAACTAAGTAGGCACCCAACATTTATCGCTACTGTATCTCAAATACCTAATATTAGACTCATTAAACCTATTTTACTAAAACTTCAGACATTTAATTGATTTTGCTCTTTGTTCTTGAACACCTGCCTAGATCCAAAGAACTGTCAGAAGCCTTCAGAAAGGAGATTATAACACCTATGAGTCCGGGAAAGTTTTCAAAAAATTGTCAAACTTTTGGGACATCTATGATTCCCCTATCCAGAAGATCTCGAAGTGGACATCTACAAAGCCCAGAATTTTATCACCTTCAAATAGTTCACACTACTACTGATATTAAATTGCAGGAGTGTACCGCACAAATTATATCTACGTGGAAGGAAGTAAGATAGATTTATTTGGCCACAGTACCAGAAGATATGTTTAGTGAAAATCAAAATCAGCATTTCATCAAAAGAAGAAATTCATGTTTCTATAAAAAAGAAAGAATATTTATTTTTTCCACAGAAGGAAATGGCATATGTGCTCTTTTTTGCTGTTGAATTAATGATTGCAAAATCAATTTTATAGCATTTTTTCTTCAATTAATCACCTCTATATTTACATACTGTTTGAATGAAGATAAAATGATATGCCCATATACAATAAAAAATGAAAAAAACTTTACATGGAATATACTTTGTCATATAATTGTAGATTAAAAACAAGAAAAAACATTTCATAGTTTGAGATTATGACAAGGTCTTTTCTGTCACAGACAACCCTGGGGTTTGGAATTTGTACATTCTCTTAAGCAAAAACGTGACAGCTTGAAATCCTGTGGTCATAGTTGCAGATATAACTCAGGTAAAACATTTTTTAAAGGGAGAGAACTGGATTAATTAGTGACTTAAATCAGTTCAGAAGTACAAAAGATTTTAAAAAAACTGAAGCAGGACAATTTTAAGGTTAGCACCACCAAGCAACATTACATTTTATGCAAGAAGTAAATAACTGTGAAGTCCTTGTTTGTTGAGCTTGTTTGCTTGCAGATGTTTTGTTACCAACTAAAGTAACATCATCAGTGTGAGTGTGAGATTTGCTCCACAATAGCAAAGTATAGTAGCTTGCCCCTTTCAGTGTTGGTAGGGGTATATTTTTTGCTTATTAATCCCTTAATTAAGAGTACTGTTTTCTATTTGAATGAGAAAGTATGAAAAAAATATCAAAAGTCACTTTTTTCATTGCTGTGGTAACTTCGAACTGTCACTAAATGAATCAAGAATTATACTTACTGTATAAATTTGGTGCTTTAAATTTAAAAAAAAAGAAAAATATGTTGTATTACAATAAAGATGTAAAAGACATCTAACAATTAAAAAGAAAAATATGGTCACCAGTTGACCTGGTGAAGGGTCAAATAATTTACTGGTATATTAGTGGCATATCATTAGGTCTCTTATAACACTCAGATGGAAAAGTTGCTACAGCATTGAAAATTTGATTTTTAACAAAATATCCCTAAATAAAGAAGTACTTTATTAGCACATATCTAAATCCCAATATCAATCAGTAACTGTTTATATTATGCAGTACAAATGGATTATAAAGCTCCATGAAAAAGACAATTGTGTTACTAATCAAATTTATTCTATATTAGATATTGCAACTTTCCACAATCTAATACCTTCCAAATACACTAACACTGATCCCAGAATTGCCAATCAATATTCCAATGGCTATGTTACCTACGTTACTTTGGGCATTTGGGGGCGGAAATGGACTATAATTTCTTTCAAACTACAGCCAAAGGACCTACTCATGATCTAATCATTCGTGAATTACTAGCAAGAAAAGGTAATGCCATAGTCTTTGGCAAAAGCTGCTAATGCAATTAATTCACACTGGTATTCTCCACCCCTGGCCATTGTTCCTCATTCCCTAGGATCATCACTGATGCATGATATCAAAATTTTATGCATAAACGTTCTCTATTATAACCAACCATAATGACAGAATTAAAGATCTAATTTCCTTTTCATTCAAAGAGAGGCACGACTATGTAAATGAAAAGGTTGAAAAAGGTGGCGTTGGCTCTTAGCCACATTAAGATTTTTTTTACATGACTCTTACTCTAGAAATATTCTAGACTTTTGAAAATAGTTAGAGTTTAACTGCTCATTATAATTGATAATGTATACCTCAGCAAGCACTGATTTTCAACACAAAGAAACAATAGTAAAGAGGACAGGTATCACTATATTTCCCTAAAAGTAGTATCTAGAGATGAAAAGTGGAACAAAGGATTCTTCTAATGTTCATCTTACACACATTCTTCAATTATGCTTGGATGCCTAGATCTCCATTTTTAACCAATCCCTCCACTAGTCAAGAAATACTAACTAGTGACATAAGTGAGATCCAAGTCAAAGCCACCTCTTGTGTAACGCCTTTTATTTTCTGAGACCTGTCAGCCAAAAGGAAAAAAAAACAATATTAAATAGTGATCTTAGGAAATAAGTAGTCAGTCATGGAAGCACAGATTCCAGAAATTATCCCCTTAAAGATGAAGACATTTTCAAATCACTCATCTCCTGGTAACTGCCTAATACAATGGGTAAATGGTTTGCCATTGAATACTTCCTGAAAAATTTTCCAATATTTTTCTGCCTAACTCTGAAGCACCTTGGCTTTAAAATCATAACATAGTTTAACTCAGCAAGTGCAAAAGCACTTTTTTTTGAAAACACTGCAAAGGCTGGTACAATCAATAGTAATAGAAGGGGGCATGCATAGCTGCGCCAGCATGTCTACCATCCCTGTCCTACTGTTCCCATTTATTTGGACTCATTTATTATGTAGATACTTATACCTGTTTATACTTATACGTTTATATGTTATGTTCATATTTATACTTGTTTTTTTATACATGCTTACAATAAATAAATTTGTATTAAACATTTGGTAAACATAAACTCTATTCACAAAAAGATTCCTCTCCATTAAATCTCTACAATGAATAAGTTTTATAAAATTTGCAGGTTTTTTTCTTTCAAAAATCTGGCTATTCTTTCCTCACATTTTAGAAATATAGTACTAGAAGTCAGAGAGAGACAATTTGCAAGAAAATGACATCTGCAGCCAAATTTCTTTCCTAGTCTACCGTAGGTGGCTTTTTAAATATATCCTCAGACAAGTTATACATACATGATGTTATCTTTTAAAAAAAAATTAGATCAAGTGGTACAAAACCAAAAAGATGTTAGACACAGTGCTGTCACCCATTTGCAAATATATATTACTTCACTGTTAAAATGAAGTACCATATACACACACACACACACACATACACACAGAACTTTGAGCTCAGGGTTTCAGGGCATAAAATTCACAAAGATACTGATTTAAGAGCTTCAGCCTTATAGGTAGTCCTCAACTTACGACCACAACTGAGCCCAAAATATGTTGTCAAATGAGACATTTGTTAAGTGAATTTTTGCCCCGTTTTATGACCTTTCTTGCCTCAGTTGTTATGTGAATCATTGCAGTTGATAAGTTAGTAACCTGGTTGTTAAGTGAATCTGGCTGTCCCATTGACTTTGCTTGTCAAAAGGTTGCATGATCTTGGGACACAGCTAATATGAACCAGTTGTTAAGCAACTGAGTTTTGATCACATGATGACAGGGATGCTGGAAAGGCCATAACTGTGAAAAAAAATTTCAGTGCCGTTGTAACTTTGAACGGTCACTAAATGAACTGTTGTAAGTCAAGGACTACCTGTACTATCATGGGTTCTTCAGAAAATCAAGACAAGAGTTTAAAGTGCAAAATTTGTAATCAATGTGAAGCAGATGACATATCATCTGAAACTCAGAATGAGAACCTGAATATTACATGGAATCACAAGGCCTGAAAAGGTCTGTCTTCCAACAAAAGACCTCAGTGTTTTCTGTCTGGTGCTCTTTAGATAGATTGGAAATGCAACCTTCTATTCTAAGCTAACATTGGCCTTCCATCTCCTGTGAAAAAGTCTTCAAGTCTATCTATCCCATCTTCCTGTACAAAGATAACCACAGAATTTAAGGGAAAAAAAGTCAATTAAAAATTAATTGAGGTATTCATATTTATTAAAAGAAAGAACAATCAATCAGAGATTTCAAACTATATACTGTACATGAAAAGGCTGGTTCAGTTTACCTGTTTACAACAAGCCCGCAAACTATATCAGTCTTCTTAGGAAGTGAATTCAGCAAATCTAGGCACCAGAGCAGGAGTGGGATTCAAATTTCTTAACAACTGGTTCTCTGGGTGGGGCTTAATTTGTGGGTGTGACTTGCTGGTTGGGCGTGGCTTGGTGGTCACGTGACTGGTTGAGAGTGGCTTGGTGGTCATGTGACTGTATGGGCATGACCAACTATGTCATTCACGTCAAGGGGTGCCTCACCTGGCCCCTCCCCTCCCAGCCATTCCTTGTCACACCCAGCCTCAACTTTATAGTTCTGTAAAAATGTTGTTCACCATTTTTTGACTTATTTGACTTATTATTTTGATTTATTATCTACGTACTATAGATATACTTTCATGGACCACTGAAAGGAGGAAATGGCTCACATGCTTTGCCCAAGAGTGTGATAGGCAACAGGCTTTTAAGGGGCTGCCAGAAAGAAAGGGGGGGGGTGTATTTTCCAAAGAAGCAGAATGCAAACCAGAAGCAATGGATGGAAACTGAACAGAGAGAGAAACAACCTAAAACTAAGGAGAAACTTTCTGACAGTGAGACCAGTGGAACTGCCTGTCTCCAGAAGTTCTGGGTGCTCAATCACTGGAAGTTTTTAAGAAAAGATTGGAGAGCCCCCAAGTTCCCCCAAGGTCCCTTCTAAGTGTTATTCTGTTATTTTGACACCTTTCCCAGGACCTCTACTCAGAGTTTGGCATCCTCAGTTTTCCTGCCTGAGCAGGGGGTTGAACTAGAAGACCTCCAAAGTCCCTTTGAACTCTGTTAAACACACCTGTATTTATGCTTTGGACTATAAACATGTAAACCCTGAAAAATACCTGGGCAAAAGAAAGGCAGTAAAATCACTCTAGGTGTAGGGACAGGGCAGAATATTAATATATGATAAATAATGGTACAATTAAAAATAATAGCACAGAGTTTTCTCTCTTCCCACCCCTTCCTTCCTATTTCTTTTTCTTTTTCTTTTTATTTCTCTTTCTCTCCCTTCCTTCCTTCCTTCCTTCCTTCCTTCCTTCCTTCCTTCCTTCCTTCCTCTCTGTTTCTCTCCCTTCCTCTTTCTTTCTTTCTTTTTCTTCTCTCTCTTTCCCTCTCTCATTCCCTCTTTTTTCCCTCTCTTTTACTCTCTTTCCTTCTCTCTCCTCTCTCTCTGTCTCTCTATGGCTCTCTCTCCCCCTGTATCTCTCTGTGTATGTGTCTCTCTCTCTCTCTGCCCCTCTCCCTATCTTCCCCTCTCTCTCCTCCCCTCTCTGTCTCTGTCTCTGTCTCACACAGAGAGAGAGGGGGAGAGAGGGGAAGATAGGGAGAGGGAATGTTCTCTTCCCCCCCACCCTCGGGCTGCTGGATCCGACCTGGAGAATGCCCGGGTGTGCTCTGCTGCTGCTGCTGCCTCCCAGAGCTGCCCAAGGTGCATTTCCAGGATGCACTGCCACCACTCTCCCCACCCCCTCTCTCAGCCGCCAGTCACAAGAGGAGAAAAAGAAAAGAATAAAGAAAAGAATAGACATGCACATAGATTGATTTCCTCCCATTGAATACCGATATGGATATTTCAGGAATAATAGTTTTGCCTCCCTTCGCAAAACAGCCACACAATTTATGAACTTCTTCCTGTTCTGTTTACCCAACCAATTCGGCCTCCCAACTCTCTCCTTACAACAAAGCGACCGATTCCATTCGTTCAGAGGAAAGGCTCTTTTCAAGGTGGGATGAGGGAAGAGATCCCCTCCCCGTCACTCCCGCCAAGCGCAGCCAAAGCCTGAAGGTCCGAGAAGGACCCAGACTCCCCACAGACTCCCTGGCTGCCCCTCGTTTGCTCCCTCCAGCCTCCTCTGCCTCTGCTTGGAGCTTCTCCACAACTCCGACACCTAGCCTGGCGCTTCTTTCCTCCTTGCCCGGCTTGGCGGTTTTGCCATCACTGCCTCGTTGCCGTCGCACGGCTCTACGCCTCCCTTTGGGGCTCCGTCTGGACAGGAGATGGTCCTTGTGTCCCTCTCCCTCCACCGACCTTCAGCTCCTTCTTCAGTTCTGGGCAGCAGCCCTTCCAAGGCGAGTCTGGGGCTCTCGGGGCCCCAAATGAGCAGCTTCGGAGACAGGGCAGCAGAGCACATGTGGGGGGGGACGTTTCCCTGGTCGGATCCAGCAACAACAGGAGGAGAAACAGAACGTTCCCTTCTCTCCTGGCCAGTGCTGCCATGGCCCTGCAGCTTCTTCGTGCCCGGGGGATAAACACAACATTCCCTTCCCTCCCGGCCATGGCCTTGCAGTGGGGGCGGGGGGCAGCTAGCAAGCTAGGTCATGGCAAAGCAAGCCAGGCAAGCCTAGGCTGGCCCAGGAGTCGACTCGACCAGGGTTTGCTTGTAGACTCACTCACCCAGGGAGATCAGGGCTGTGGTGGAAAGCAGGCAGCAATGGTGGGCGAAGGCAGGTTAGCAATGGCGGGAGAGATGAGGAATAACTAGGCGGGGCGGGGAGTGGGCAGGTGGGAAGGGGTGGGGCCAGCCAGGGGTATGATTTATCAGTTCTCTGAACTGCGCAGACTCATAACATCCGGTTCTATAGAACCGCTCCAAACCAGTAGAATCCCACCCCTGCACCAGAGCTAGCAATATTCTATCTATTTCACTTACCAACCTCCGGGTCATTTTTTCTAATCGTTCTGCCTCAGCAGCCACTCGAAAAATTCTTACTAGAATTATAATTCTTAACATTCGAAGAATGACAACTGTTCTGGGAAATAGAAAGAATGGGATTACATCAACTATTAATGCCAACTTTGGCTATACCCATATCACAGTTTAGGCCCACCTACAATGGTATTCAGGTTTGAGAATCTTTAAGTTTCAATCCCACCAAACTATTACACAACCTCATCTCCTACCATATCGTCCCACAGATAAAGGATTTCTATAGATATCAGTATTTTTGTGGTAGAAAAAGGAGTAAGAATGCCATTTAATATCTACTTTGTTTTGGGAGCAAATGAACAACTATTGTTATGTATCAGAATGATATCACTCTTCAAACAAAAAAACCCACAATAAGCTAGGTTAAATTCAATGCATGCAAAGCCTGATTAATTTATAATCTCATCTCATCCCATTTCTCCCTTTTAAAGAATAAAAATTGAGGTCTTTAACATTGCATTTTTTCATTTTGGAGTTAGGCTGATCAAGTGCCTGTGGAAATTCTTAGTCATGCAGGTCACAGTTATCTGAAAGGTGCTTTCTCAAAAAGGCAGCTTGACTGGTTTTTTCCTGAGGAAGAAGAAAAAGACATTTCGCTTCTCATCCAAGAAGTTTCATGGTTCTGGCAGGATGATGGGGACAATGGAAGGATTAGTTCAGATATGGCTGGGGGGGGGGGGTGGTGAGTGGAAGGATTATATTTCGTTGCAGCCATCTGGTTGTTAGCATTCTCCCTGGGAGCTCTTGAGGCCACTTAGGAGTCTATCTATGCCCTCAGAGTCATCTGTATCAGAAAGCAAATGGACTCTTAGAACTGCTGCAAGGGCTGCTTTATATGACAGGAGATAGGTGGTGTTTTATCCCGCCCCCCTCTGTTGAGAAAGAGGGATGAGAAGCAAAATGTCTTCTTTCTCAAGGAAAAACAGTCTAGTTGCCTTTTGATAAAGCACCTTTGAGCTGAAAAGGTGCATATTTCTTACCTTGGAATTACAGTTATTCCACCCAAGTCAGAGGCAATATATAGAGTATCAACCAGCAAGTTACCCACAACAACGATGCTATCTAGAATGTTTAATTTAGATTTGAAGTAGTTTTTGAATCTGAAATGCAAAACAAATAAGAGTATTCAAACACTAAGTAACAATAACTTAATGGTGGTGTCCATTTCCCACTGTCAGAATGATACAGTTGCCATCAAACAGCTGCTGCCAATAAGACTTCAGTGCTAAAAAAGGAAAGAAGAGGAAACTCTACCTTGGAGTTCTGCACAGAACCTATATTTTTCTTCCCTCAGACTGTAAATGAACTCTGTAGTATAGTTCTATAGAGGGTGACAATAGGATCTATACAAGTTTTACAACAAAAGAAACATAGATGTTAGCAATAAATATATTAGAGATATATAGTAGAAAGATAGGAAAATACAAAATATAGTGTAGATAAAGAGCTCATGGAAAATAGTTAAAAATAGTTTAGTGATATGAAATAGTTAAAGGCCTTCACAATTCTTTTTGTTTTTGTAAGCTTTCCTTGTTTTGTAAACTAAAAGTCACCCCAAGCTGTTGAAGGGAGATTCAGAACAGGGTGGAGCTGACGTCGCAGTGATACGATGGACTTCCTCGGAGCTCCTGGGGGGGGCGTCGACATCCTGACAGCCAGTAGTCCCTGTTGGACCTAAATCGCCTTGGAGGGGCGAGAAGAGAACACTCTGTTGATCCCAAGGACATCGAAAAGTCACTGGCAGATCCAGAGGAAGCTCTTCAAGCCAGCAGGAAAGGAAAGCGGCCATTGTGAGCCGCTAAAAAGCTTGGGCAGCTGCTGACAGAAAGAAGGAAAGGAGAGAAAGTGTGATCGTACTGGGTGAGAACCACCTTTTTTTTTCAAATATATTAAAGGAAGAGCCCCCTGGGAAAAACAGGGTGAAGGCAAGCGCCAAAAGTAAAGGTGGAAGTGGGTAAAAAAAAAACATGGAAGAAAGAGTCGAGGAAAGCTTTTCCGGTGAAGATTTAGAAAGGAAGCCATTAATTAAGAACTTGTGAATGAACAGTAACTGAGCAACTGGACTGAACTTATTGGATCTATTGGGTTAATTTAGGGAAATAAGAAGAGGCATTGGGATTTACTTTTTTTTTCTTTTTTTCTTGATCTTATACCTTCCCACATTTAATTATAAACGTTGGAGAACTTTGGATAATAAGGGATTGTTACAGTAAAAAGAGAAAGCAGTGCAACAGTGCCACCTAAAGGTGAAAGGGAAATAGAAGACAGAAGAAGAAGGGGAGCTACATGACCCTGATGGTATGGGAACAAGAATGCGCGTTGGTGGAAGTTACCGTGAACACCCTTTCTCTCTATGCTGCGAAAGAGCCCAGGATGGGTTGACTCCTTCCTATGATGTCATAGCTGAGTCTGTACTAAGATATAAAAGCCAGCCCCCGGGAGAGATCCCAGCTTTGGCGAAGATACTTGACAGACTGAAAGGTGTCTCTGAAAGCCCAAAATAAATACAGGAATATGTCTTACCCCCTCCGGACGAATCAAGGGAGGGGCTGGGCTCTCTCACAACATAGATAGAAAGGGTGTTCACGTTAACTTCTACCCACGCCCATTCTCCTCCATGCTGCATCGAGAGCCCAGGATGGGACATACCAAAGCTTGCATGTCCACGGGCGAGTCCTCGTCTGGCTCATCACACTGACTGTGGAACCACTCATTGAAGCACCCATCTGCCAAAGGCTGCAGTCGCCGAGGCAAAAGCATCCAAACGGTAGTGTCTGATGAAAGGAGATGGGGATGTCCACGTGGCTGCACGACAAATCTCCTCCAAGGATGCTTGGGTCGCCCAGGCAGCCAAAGTGGCCGCGTTTCTGGTAGAGTGCGCCATCAGAACCAGAAGGGAACCGGAAGGGCCGCAGCTTTGTAGGCCTGCTCAATGCAAGACCTGACCCACCTGCTAATAGGAGGAGAAGAGGCCTTGTGCCCCAAGTGAGAAGGGAAAAAGGAAACAAACATGGCTTCTGACTTCCTGAAGGAGGAAGTGCACTTAATGTATATTCTAAGAGCCCTTCTTACGTCTAGCATGTGCCACTGCCGCTCTAAGTCATGGTGCGGGAGAGGACACAAGTCAGGCAAAACAATGTCCTGGGACCTGTGAAACCAGGTGTTAACCTTCAGAATAAATGAGGGGTCCAGACGAAGAACAACCCTATCATCGTGAAAGGAACAAAGGTCCTGTCTGATGGAAACAGCAGCAAGCTCGGAAACCCTCCTGGCAGAAGTGATGGCAACAAGGAACACTACCTTCAGAGTCAGGAAACGGAGAGACACTGTTCTAAGGGGTTCAAAGCGGGGCTTTGTAAGGGCATTAAGGACCACATGAAGGTCCCAGGAAGGATACCTGTGAACCACTGGAGGGTGCAGGTTGGAAGCCCCTTTCAAAAATCTCCTGACTGAAGTGTGATGGGATAAGGAAGGAAGCGAACCCCATGAAAGGACTGAGGAGAGGGCTGCAACCTGCCTGCGTAAGAACAACAAGAGCAACCAAACCTTATTACAAATAAAGACATGGAAGAAGAAATAAAGCTAATGTCAATTAACATAAATGGACTAAACTCAGCAATAAAAAGAAAAAGGATTTTCAACAAATTAGAGAAACTAAAACTGGATATAATTTGTTTACAGGAGGCATATCAAAAAACAACACAATAAAGTATTGGACTATACTAAAAAATGGGAAGCTATACACTTCCCTAGCACAACAAAGTAAAAGAGGAGTAGCATTATATATTAAAAATACAATAAAAACCAAACAAATCTTTCAAGATGAAAAGGGAGGGTGTTAACGGTGGAAATAACTATGAACTGTAAACAGACACTATTAGTGGCAATATATGCACCAAATGAAAATCAAGAAGAATTTTATGAAAAACTACACAAGAAAATAATGGCATTCAAGTATGAAAGTATATGCATCTTAGGAGATTACAATGCAATAGTGGACATGGAAATGGACTATAAAACACAGAAGACAAAAAAAAAACAGGGGCAGGAAAACATTATCAAAATCCTGCTTCAGGATGAGGGAAGAGTTAGCAATTCAAGACGCATGGCGAAAAATACACCCAAAAAACAATCAATATACATTTTATTCAAACAGACATCTGTCTTGGTCTAGGATTGATATGATGTGGGCATCAACAACTTAATTTCTAATATACAAGAAATAAGTATTGAAACAAATATCTGGGCAGATCATAATCCGATAAAAGTAATATGGAAGGGATAACAAAAGAGGTCAAGATGGACAATGAATAATTTAATATTGAAAGAAAAGGAATTTTGTAAGATATATGAAAAAAGAGTTGAAATTTTTCTTCAATGAAAACAGAAGGGAAGACACTTTGCTACAAAACGTATGGGAATACAGCAAAGGCCTATATAAAAGGACTAACTATAATATATGTGGGAAAGAGAAATAGGAAAAGGAGGTAGACACAAAGGACATTAGAAGAAGAATATAAAAAACTGGAGGAGGAATTGCAAAGAAGCCCAAAAAGAAAGGAGATACAAAACAAGATGAAATTAATAAAGCATCAAATGGAACTAACAGATAAAGAAGATTTAGCACAAAAAATAAAAAGATCTAAACAATTTTTTTCAAAATTGAAAATAAACCAGGAAGGTGGTTAGCATATAGACTGAAAAAAGAGAAGGAACAGAAATGGATTCCTCAATTAACAGATAATAAAGGAAACCTTTTTATAGAAATGAAGATAAAAACAAATAGTGCAAAAACTCTATGGGAGATTATATGAACAAGAACAAGTTGAAGAAAGAATACTTGAAAAGAGCAGAATTACCTAAAGTACCAGAGGAAATTAAAACAATGTTAGAGGGAAGAATCACAATGATGGAATTAACAGAAGCAATAAAAAGACAAAACGGGAAAGAACCAGGGCCAGACAGCCTACCAGCAGAACTGTACAAAACATTGCAGGACTCTGAGCAATACAATGTTGGAAATATTAAACGAAGTACTGATGGAGGTGAAAATACCCAATTCATGGATGGAAGCTTACATCAGTCTCATACCGAAAGAAGATTCTGATCTACAACAGATTAAAAACTATAGACCTGTGATGGAGAACCTATGGCACGCATGCCAGAAGTGGCACACAGAGCCATTTCTCTAGGAGCCATCACCCATTGCTCTTCGGCATGCCGGCCAGCTGGACTTCACATGCACATAAGCACCAAAAACCAGAAGAGCAGCCGCCTGGTACGCATGCATATGCCAGGAAGATGATCTTGTTCCCAGTATGCACATGTGCATTGGCCACTTGGTCTTCTGGTTTCTGGTGCGCATGCAGGGTCAAAGACCAGCAACGAAAATAGTATTTGGTGTGCCTGCCAAAAGACCCCGAGAGGGACAGAGATGTGGGCCAGGATGGGTGGGCCAGGACTTCCATCCCTCTCTGCCTGAGTGGGGTTCTTATGTGGCTCCAGCCCATGGCACATCCATGTTCCAGAGCACCTGGCCGGTTTGGGCACCCCAGAAGTGCCAGCTGCCCCCTGCGCAGCCCACCACCACTTTTGCCAAGGAGGCTTGACCGCTTCTGTCCCCAGCCTTCCTCCCACACTGGCTCAACTCCTGCACCTCCCCAGAAGAGCAGCAGCAGCCACAGCTCGGTGGCATCTCTATGTGGGTAGCTTGCCTCCCCGCTGGCAGCTCCTCCTCCAGCATCCTGCCTGGAAGTGGCAATGCAACAGCCGCTGCCACCGGGGGTGAAGGGGTAGCAGGGACAAGGACAGGAGGGCCGGGGCTCCCCTCCCTTCTTGTACGGCCCCAGCCATCCTGGCTGACAGCACTGCTCCCCTTCCTGTTCTGGGTTCCAGCACACTGATCAACTCGGGCATGGGGCCCTGTCCTGTGTGCCCGAGCCAGCCATGCTCTCCAGAACACAGATGCACATCAGTGCCGAGGGCTGGAGGGCTGAGGCTGTGCAAGAAGCCTGCTGGGAGGGGGAGGAGGGAAGGAAGCACTGGCCTGCCCATCCATGCCTCCGCTGCCCCCTTGTCCCAGGCGGTGGCAGCGGCTGTTGTGCTGCTGCTTCCAGGCAGGATACTGGCGGAGGAGCTGTCAGCGGGGAGGCGAGCTGCCCAAATGGCTCGCTGACTTGGAAGCAGCTGCAGTAACCGGCCAGTCACTCCTGCCCTTCCCCCTGGTCCTGCCACCATTGGGGGCTAGAGGGCAGGGGTGATTCGCACACACAGCCCTGCCTCTCCAAAAGAGCAGCAGCAGCAGGCACAGGATGAGAGACAGGAGCGAGAACTGCTGCCACCCTTTCGCCCCCAGCAGCGGCAGGAACCGCTAGAAACAGGACCTAAGTTGATAAACAAGATAGAAAAATATGGGAAAGTGGCAGGATTGAAAATAAATAAAGGGAAAACTAAGATCCTGGTAAAAATATGACAGAGAAACAGAAAAGAGGACAGACTAGACATCCAGATTACAAAGAAAGAGAAATACTTGGGGATTCAATTGACGGCTAGATGTGGAACGATTAAGGAGGATAATTACTATAAATTGAAACAACAAATTAAGAAAAATTTGGAAAAATGGGGTAACATGCAGTTATCATTAACAGGAGGAATTGCAACAATTAAGATGAATATATTACTGAAATTATTATATTTCTTCCAAACAATTCCGATAAAACTGGAGAAGAAATATTTTGATGATATTAATAGAATAGTATTGAAATATATATCGCAAGGGAAGAAAGCAAGAATTAACCTTAAAATGTTGCAGGATGCAAGAATCAAAGGGAAATGTACTATCAGGCAGCAGCATTAATATGGTTGAAAGAATGGATTAATTTAAGAAATTCAAGGTTGTTGACATTGGAGGGACATGATTTGCAATTGGGCTGGCTTGCTTTTTTATGGTATGGGAGAAGTAAGATACATGGATATTTTCAAAGACACTATGTTAGGAATGCTTTATTGTTAATGTGGGAAAAAACTAGAGAACAACGTTATTTGAAAATTCCAGTACAGTTATCAACAATGGAAGTACTCATACATCCAAATGTTTATAAAATGGGAACCATTATTAGATATAAGGATATATTGAATGAAAAGGATGAACTCAAAACCAAACAATAATTGAATGAATAAAGGGTTAATACGCATTGGCATTCATATATGCAAATACAATAAAGATATGAAAAAGATGTTAAAGCAGATGGTATTTATAAGGAGTTGACAGAATTGGACAAAACATTAACAGGAACAGAAGATAAATTGATTAAAATTGTATTGTTATTTATTAGGTATCAAACTAGAAGAACAACAAGTAAATGATAGCATGGGCGAAAAATTTTGGGGACACTATAGAATTAGATAGATGGCAGAAGTTATGGGAAAGAAATTATAAATTAACAATATTGACAGCATACAAAGCAAACTTGTACAAGGTATTTTATAGATGGCACTTTGCACTAGCAAAATTGGCAAAGATGTTTAAAGACAAATCAGCTAAATGCTGGAAGTGTCATCAGACACCTAGATCATATTAACGTGTGGTGGACGTGCATAGAAGCTAGAAGATATTGGACAAAAGTACACACATGGTTGGAAAAAATGATAAAGCAACATATAGATTTGAAACCTGAAATATTTCTATTAGGGATGGTATGTGAACATTATAGCAAAGAAAAAGTATATTGGATTATTCACGTATTAACTGCAGCTAGAATTGTATTTGCTCAGAATTGGAAAAGAGAAAAAATTCTGGCAGAGGGAAAGGTGATTGAGAAAACTTCTGCCGGCATGCGAGAGGTTGCCTGGAAGAGCCCCACTGCGCATGTGGGCACACCCCCGCCAGCCAGCTGATTGTCAGGTACCTGCAGCGCATGCGTGGGGGGAGATGCACGTGTGGAAGAGACATGCATGCGCAGAGGCATGTGGTGGGGGGATTGTGTGCGCATGTGCAGAGGCGTGCAGCACAGGGAGTATCGCACGTGCATACGCAGGGGTGGGGGGAGTCGCACCTGCATTGCATCATGGGTGCAGGCACACGAGCGAGCGCATTTTTGGCACACAACATGGAAAAGGTTAGCTATTACTGCTCTAGAAATATGTACAGGAGTATTCCAAACTATTTTTTACAGATTTCCCCCAAAACTTTAAACCTTTAAAAAGAAAATGTTTAAAACATATTATTCCCTGTACAATTCTACTATAAGAATATATAATTTCCTTTAAATCTCTAGGGCTAGTTCTAAATTCCCACATTTCATTCCATAAAAGTGCCTGTAAGAATCAGCAAATGTCTATATGCACAGATGCTCTTACCCTTCAATAAATACTTGCAGGAGCACATCTACGAAGAAAAATAGTGCTATGCTCAAACAGAGGTTTGTAATCATGTGTTCAACAGAATCATGGTCTTCATCAATCAACAGAGAAAGAATCACAAGTGAAACATCCAAAAAAATAAGCACCACACCAAAAAATCTGCAAGTGCAAGGGAAATGAGAAATGTAGGCAAATTTCAAAACAAAAAGAATGCAAGTTATAATTCTATACTTTTTGTTTTTCTATTACATAAGATGTTAACATCAAACTGGTTTTGGATCACGTCTTCTGTAATCTCTAGTTATTACTAACTATAGTTTTTGATAATGAGAGCTGTAGAGAAATAAATTCTGGGGATGCTTATTTTGGAAAGAAAATGGTCTTATCAAACCCTATCAAGTCAGTGGTGGAATGACAAGGTGTCGGAGAGCCACAAGTGTAATGTACAACCTGCCTGCGTGTATACTAAAAATGGAAAAGACATGAAAAAAACCAGTCAGTTATGTTATTAATGCAAATGCAGACAGTGTTCCCAAGCTGGAAGCATGTGCATTGTAGACTTCTTACATTGCGCTACACTGCAATAGCACTTAGACAGTTATACCGCTTTATAGTGCTCTACAGCCTCTCAAAGCGGTTTACAGAGTCAGCCTATTGCTTCCAACAATCTGGCTCCTCATTTTACCCACCTCGGAAGGATGGAAAGCTGAGTCAACCTTAAGCCTAGTGAGATTCAAATTGCCAAATTGCAGTCAGCTGGCAGTCAGCAGAAGTAGCCTGCAGTACTGCACTCTTAACCACTGGCTCATATCTGTCATGTGTAGTTAGACTATGGATTGTAAATTATAAATTATGTAATAGTTGAATGAATCCAGCAAACTGACTTACTGAAGAAACCATGGTTTATAAAAATGTATAAACTGAGGAATACATTCTGATACAGTAAATCTGTGGTAATTGAAAGGGAAAAAAATCACTGTACAATTATTTTCTTGTACTTAATTACATTTCATGTAAACAAAATATTTACCTGAATCCAAAAGACATAACATATGGAGATATCTTTTTTTTCACCTTGCTGAATAGTTGGTAGAGAAAGGGAGTAAAAAAATTGTTAAAGATTTTGACTAAGATTTCAAGAAACAAATCAAGTCTTACAAATTAGAATTATATTTGTACTCCCTAATCAAGTTTATATACTGTAGTAGTATCAATAATACAAAAACTTTTATTGTATTTATAAGACAGTCTAGAATTATAACCAGAAGTGGTATACAGCAGGTTCTGACCAGTTCTGGAGAACCCGTAGCAGAAATTTTGAGTAGTTCAGAGAACTGGAAAACTGACTGACTGGCCCTGCTCCCATCTATTCTCTGCCTCCCAAGTCCCAGCTGATTGGCTGGGTCTTCTTTAGTTGTCCTGCACAGGAGAACAGAGCTGGAAAGCAGGTTAGTGGAGTGGCGAGGGAATGGGATTTTGCAGTAACTTTCCCCCAGGAGTAGGAAGGCAATGGAGATTTTACAGTATCCTTCCCCTGCCACGCCCACAAAGCCAGGCTCACAAAGCCACACAAGTCCACAAAGCCACGCCCACAGAACTGCTAGTAAAAAAAATTGAGTCCCACCACTAATTATACCCCCAGTAACACTCATATTTTTAGGCCTGCTAAGTACTAGTTAAATCTTGCTAGCAATCCTCTTTGTTTTCCTTATAATTCCTCAAAATAGCAATTGTTTCTATTTGTCTCAAGGATTTTTGAATCTAAGCTTTAAAAGATAACAAACTGACATTTATACATTTTATTCATTAATAGAATCTATCAAAAATGAGTAAACAGGATTCTATCAAGAAAGAAAGCCAGTTTAGTCTAGTAGTCAAAACATCAGGCTAGAAACCTGATGCTTTGAGAACAAAAATTCTAGTCCTGCCTTAGCCATGAAAACTAGCTGGGTGATTTTGCCCCAGTCACTCTTAGCCCACCTCACCTGGATTACTGTTATGGGGGAAATAGTGGGAAGGAGTATTATGTATGTTCATCACCTTGAGTTGTTTATAAAGTAATAAAGGTGGGACAAAAAATATCTAATAAATAAAATAAGAAATCAATTGAGTGCAACAGAGGGATACAGTCAAGATCAAGGGAAGTACTAATACCACTCTATAAAGCCTTAGTAAGACCACACCTAGAGTACTGCATCCGGTTTTGTTCACCACATTACAAAAAAGATGTTGAGACTCTAGAAAAAGTACAGAGAAGAGCAACCAGGATGATTAGGGGACTGGAGGCTAAAACATACAAGGAACGGTTGCAGGAACTGGGCTTGGATAGTTTAGTTAAGAGAAGGACCAGGGGAGATATGATAGCGGTCTTCCAATATCTGAGGGGCTGCCACAGAGAGGAAGGGGTCAAGCTATTTTCTAAAGCACCCGAAGGCCAGACAAGGAATAATGGATGGAAACTGAACAAGGAGAGATTTAACCTGGAAATAAGGAGAAACTTTCTGACAGTGAGAACAATCAACCAATGGAACAGAAGTTGCCCTCGGAAGTTGTGGGAGCGCCATCACTGGAGACTTTCAAGAAGAGATTGGACCGCCATTTGTTAGAAATGGTGTAGGGTCCCCCGCTTGGGCAGGGGGTTGGGCTAGATAACCTACAAGGTCCCTCCCAACTCTGATTATCTGTATCTGTATCTGCATATATACCCTGGATTCAGCTGCATAGATCAACTATGTCTACAAAACAGAAAAGCTGCCTTTTCTTATGTAAAAATACATTATTGTCTCTTGCATACCCTTCTATTAAAAAGCAACCTAAAACTAGAGTCTGAATTTGTTATATTCAGATTATGTCCTTAAGAAAATTTTTTCCTATGGTTCTAATGTTTGTTAATTGTGTAATTAATTTCTCAGTGTTATTTTACTCTGTATAGTTATTTACTAGAGCCCCATTGCCAATTTGGGAAGTGCTTTTTATTTTCTAGAAGAACCATTTGACAGGAACTAACAAAATGGAACATATTAAAAACTAAATGCACTTTAAAATTAAATGAAATGATAAACTGAAAAAGGACCAGGAACAAATATGGTATATTTCCAAACACAATTCTTCCTCAATCAATGAAACCAACATTCCATGCCTGATGAAATGTTTAATCTCTTCTGATCTGTACTGGATCTTACTTTCACCAGCCATATTTTCCCTTTATACATATTTTTAAAACCTTATATGACTTTATTGCCATTTTGGTACATATTGACGAGGAATTTACTATATATAATATAGGGTGGCCTATACATTTCATAAATAAACGCATACATAATTTGTAAGTTTTGTGGGGTCCGCTATTGGGGTTGATTGATTGATTAGATTTATTTATCTCATTTTAAAGTGACTATGGGTAGCTTATAGCATTAAAATTAATAACAGATAAATATTTCTAAAAAATAAAAATGGAAATTACAAAGGTAAAATTATAGTTAAAAGATGTAAAGGGAGGGAGCAGGATGTGCAGATGGGAGCACTCTTGATTCATCAACCAGTTCCAGTGTGATGCTCCGCCATTAGGACTCCAAACCATCTGACAGCACCAGGTCTTCAGGCCCTTATAGAAGGTCAGAAGGGTGGAAGCTCATCTCATGTCAGAGGTCAAGATGTTCCAGAGGGCAGGAGCCATGGTAGAGAAGGCCTCCTGGATCACACCAGCCAAAATTGCTTGACTGTGGGGCCCACAGAATGTTCTTTCTTCCAGCATGGGTGGGGTGGACCAGTCCCAAAGGGACAAGGCCAGGGGTGGGATTCAGTTTTTTTTAACAACCAGTTCTGTGGGCGTGGTTGGTGGTCATGTGATTGGGTAGGCATGGCCAACTTGACTTCACTCATGTCAAGGGGTTGCTTCTCCTCGCCTGGCCTCTCATGACAATGGGGATACTGCAACAATCGTGTGAAAAATGGTCATAAGTCACTTTTTTCAGTGCCATTGTAACTTTGAATGGTCACTAAATGAACTATTATAAGTCAAGGATTACCTGTACAAAAATACAAAAAGCTTCTTTGCTTGCAAAAAGCTGCCCTAAATACCAATCATTAGATTAAAAATACCTGCAAACCAGAGTTACAAATCAGGCAGGGTGCCAGAGCACTTTGAGGAATGAAAATAGTTAAAATGCAGTGATAACTATCAAGCAGCCAACTCTTGCTCATAAAGTGAAACCCTTTAGCAGAGAAATCATTTAAGCTCTCCAGAAAAAGCACACCCAGGAAAAGCAATCCTTAGATCCTTTTGCACCACTTAAAGCTGGTTTCACTTACCTCACCAGATATCCTAAGGAAATCATCCAGATTTAGGGAAAGGTCACATGCCCCCCAGAAAGGCAATAAAAAAAATCAGTGCCAAGCTTGCATCCTGCCTCTTGGAAGTATACCCCAAAAGCAGAGTGCCAGATAATACTAAAGCAGTAAGGAAGAACCCACTCCCCAGACAGAAAAAGAAACCATGAGGCAGGAAAAAATTCAAACACAATACAAATAATTAAATCACAACAGTAGCTGTTGTTTGTTGAAGCTGAATAGGGAAAATTATCCCATCAATAAACACAGGATTAAACTTCACCAAGCACAGAATTAACCCTCACCAAAAACCAGTTTTAGACCAAAACTCAGAAAGAATATGGAAACACATGTTTGAATGTCAATCTTTCTAGCTAGCCAAGAAGCCTTGCTCACTCATCTTGGTTCCCTGTCACTAAAAGCTTTGTTTCATTATTCAATTATTTCTTCAAAGTGCTCATTGTCCAGGGAAGTATTTCCTCCCAACAGCAGTGTAAACATCTTAAAACTACCCTTCCCCTTTAAGAAAGCCCAGCCCCAAAGCTCTGGAGACAGTAAATCTAGGCTGTCTGCCAAGAATGTAATAAGGGTAGAAAAAAACAAAAGGAGATTGCTTCTAACTACTGGTTCTCAAACTGCTTAGAAAGTTAACAAGGGGTTCTATAGAACCGGATAGAACTTGTAGAATCCCACCCCTGGACAAGGCAGTTTCTCAAGCATGGACCCATGCCTTGCAGGATTTTAAATGGAATTACTAATATCTTGAATTGCACCTGGAAGCAAAGGATAGTCCCATATAGAGTGCATTGCAGTAGTTCAAATGCTTACTAAATATAAGCATTTAAAAAAATCCTAATTTACTTTTCTCAACTAACTCAACTCAATAATAAAGAAATATTATGGTATTTATAATACTATAATGTTGTGTTTTATTTAAATTTATCAGCTTACCTCATCCATGAGTCTGAATCAAAAACTTCCTCCTCAACACCATCATCAAGAGAAACTTCAGACTCCCTGGTTAGCCCAGTTCTGCCATAGAATTAATTAGTCAAGCTGCAATTATAACTTTCTTCTTCAATGGTAACATAATCATATCCATTTATACCAAAGACAAATGACTGTTTAAATTTGTTCAGGAAGTTAATGTGTGTGGCTGCGTCCTCTTCAGTAATCTCCTTAGCCACTTGATTTCTGCCACAGAATTACAGGTAGTCCTCTATTTACGAATGGAATCCTGCTCATTCCATCTGTAACTTGAGAATTTGTGAGAGATCACTCCCTACTTTTGGCCACGCATTCACTAATTTAATGTATGGGCGAATGCGTGGCTCATTGTGCACATGAGGTATCTTGGGGTGGAGAAGGCCATGGGGGCATAATGAGGAAACAAGTTACCTATTTCAGACTACCCAAGGCCTCCTCTGACCCACAGATATCTCATTCTCCCTCCCCTGGGGTCCCCATAATTGTTTCCCCCCCATCCTGCCGTGCTGCATGACTTACCTTATTAAGGTGTTTCCACCCCAGCCTGTTTCTTTGCCTGCTCCCTCCTTTCTCATCAGCAAAGGGCTTGGCAAGGCTTCCGTGACAAGAAAGCAGGCCCGTAAGGCTGAGTGCGGCCTTCCATGGCTGCTTTCTCACCAGAGATCAGCTTGAGGCCTCCAGCAGAGAGAAAGCAGCATGCAGCCTTACAGGGCTGCTTTCTGTCTGCATTTGCCAGTAGGAACAGGGCTTCGGAGGGACATGCCCGCTCCTCCCGCTGGTGCCAACAAAGGCTTTTTGCAAAGGGCTGCTGAAGCCTATAGGAATGAAATCATACAAGATCTCATGCTACTGATCTCACACTATGTTAGGCCCCTGTTCTCTGCAAATACAGGCAAAGAAACCATGATAAAGAAGAGATCTTTGCCAGGTAAGTGAGTCTCCACAAGTGAAGTGTCTGTGAAGACTCAGCAGGGGTGGGGGGAACAGGTGGTGAATGTTGCCGAGCTTCTGCGGTTGTTCGTAACAGCGAGCAACTGCCGTGGTGCTGCAACATTCATAATTTCGGAACTTGTTTGTAAACGCTAACATAACTTTGAATGTTTGCTAAGGGAATGCTCGCAATCCGGGGATTACCTGTAATCAATCAAGCTGATATAGTTAATATTTCTTCTTCAAAGGCAACATACAACATCATCTTCCCCATTCTAATCACTGCCCTCCAGATGTCACATTTAAGGGTTTTAGACTAAATTGGGAAGTAGAAAATATCCCAGAAGGCAGAGGCAAACAACTTTCATATTGGTGTTCCATGTGGATGTGTCCATGTAATCACCAGGAACTGAGTTTGACTTGTGGAAAGGGAACTTCATGAGAACAGTGGTGATACCCAAGCAGGAAAAGCCCAAAGGGAACATCAGGCCAGCCATAAAACAAACTTGCATAGGAAAAGAGATTTGATAAAAGGTATTGAAAGAAGCCCCCTAGACAAAAGCCAAGTAATTAAGAAAACTAGGGAAACAAGAAAAAGAAATCCCTTACAAACAAAAGGTCATGCCAAATCAGCAAAACAAATAGACAAAAGATACGAAATAGATTCCATAGCAGACAGGAGATTGCCACCAAACAAATATAAGAAAACATTAGGATGAAACTGATAATCCAATCAAACCACCCCGCAGAGTTTACCCTCTGACGGAAATGAAGACAACCCCCTGACAGGATTTAAAACATTAAGAAATACAAACACAAGCACTCACACACAAAAGGAGAAAAGGTATAAAAATCAGGAGTTTATTACACAAAGCTGGCTAGCCCCAGGAACGCAGACTTCTTGCTATCTCTTGCCTTCCTGAAAATTAAAGGAACCTGCCTCCAAGTAGCTGCCTCTGTCTGTGTCCTTGCTCTGGAGCACTCCCAGCAGGAAAAAAGAACCCTTGGAAGGAAGGCATTTGCCAGACTCAAGAATTATTTTACCCTTATTACATCTGGAAGATGCTAAATTGTAAGATGCTGCTTTAATGCTGAATGAAAAGGCATTCTGTCTAACATAGTTTACACACTATAGTTACATTCTAAACACCTACTTTCCTCTTTCTTCAAAAACTGCAGGAATCAAAATTAGTCAAGGGTGGAAAGGAACAGCCAAAGGCATATCTTGAAAAAGTGTTTTATGAATGCACCCTCTTCACATATCTAATCAGTAACAGTATTGATTTTTCTGTTTACTCCAATCTCACAAACCATACATTAAATTAATTTATACTTTCACAAAAATATAACTTGAACTTAAACTGTATTTTCATGTTCGTGTAGGTCTGTTATTATATATCTAGTATTAACTTGAGGCACTAGCAATTGAATCTGAAGTTCTTTGCATTCAGAGCATTGGGTGCTACCATGGAACTATGGTTACATTTATATTCCAACTAAAATAACTCACCGAACAGGGACTTCTAATTTAGGTGTTACAGTTGACATTATATTTTATTTGTTATGTTGTGTAACACGGCAGAGATACTGCCTATGAAGAGAAAAAACACAGGAAGTGTTCAGAATACAAAAGTGGCATTTTATACATACAAGTTACTTGCTTAATAAATATAAATGATTAATGTAGTTATTTTTTACTATTTCGTGGTGTCCGACTCTTAGTTACTTTATAGGCAAGTGCCCTCCATGCTACCCTGTAAAGCACAGCTTCTTTCAATTAATGTATACATACAGGCTATTTAAGTTAATCCACCAAAATCAACTGCACATTGTCTATAAATTGATTGGCACATGAAAGTCACATGTAGATGTAGAAGGCTTTACTACAGTGGTTCCGGATTAAAAGCTCTCAGCATACCAAAGAAAGTAAATAAACAAATAAATTTATGACTAAAAGGAGTCTATCCATCATGGTCGTAAATTGTGATGGTCATAAATCAGGTAATCCATTTGACCAGCCCGATTTTATGACTTTTGTGATGGTTTGCTATGGGCTAGTTTTGCCAAAAACCAGAAGTAAATGCCATAAATGTGGTCATGTGATTGTGAGGGCGGCTTTTAGAACTTTAGAAACAAGTCGTAAGTATCCACAGGGAGCTTCTTCGTAAATTTGAATAGTTGCTACGCAACTGGTTGTAAGTAAAATATTCCATTTCTCTTTTTCAGAAAGAAAAAAACAGAAAATACAGGTGGTTTATAAACAAAAACCCCAAACACAGTGCCAAAAATGGAGATGGATGGCTGCACAATAAAACATTATCTGGGAGGCTCATTCACTTTGGCCAGCTTTGCCCAACTTTAGTTACTATACATCAAATTACGAACCCCTTAAATCAAGCGCCAAGATCACTGTTAAGTGGGAATCATGACAGGTGCACTTCCGAAGAGCACCAGTGTTGGAGAAAGCTGGCTTCAGCCTATTTTTCAGAGGTGAAGTTGGTTACATCATTACTACAGACCGGAATGAGAAATTCACCTGATCAAGTTTTAAAAATATTTCCTGCAAAATGAAAGGGAGCACCTTTTTTACAGTTCTCAAGGTATCAGCTTTTCTGTTGAATATTTAGAACAGCAAAGGAGCTATTTAATTTATATTTTTTACTATTATTATTTATTTACTATTTTTATAAACACTCAAGGCCCAAATGTTCCTTCTTCCTATTTCCCTGGTGAAACAGGTCTCTTTGTTACAACCCAAAGTAAACACTGAGATGTATTCTATATGTGAAGCTATTTTGGAGAACCAAACCCTGTTGGCCTTCCATAAAATGTAAAAATTTGGCCATGTGCCTAACTCTGGGGGCTCTTAATGTGTTAAGGACCCGGCCTCCTGGCTTTATTGTTAAAGTGGGTAATTCTCTTTCTCTATTTATCTATATGTATGCCATTTTCATTTTAAACGTTTTATTGTTTTGGAATTATAAACTGTCCAGTCCCTGGGTTGAGATGGGCAGCCACAGAAACTAATTAAATAGAAATCAGCTTAACAGATGCAATCCGATCACAGCAGGAAAGAGGAGGGAGGAAGACCCCAGGTTATCCACCCTCGGGTTTCTTCTTCTTCTCCTTCCTAAACGAAACTAAGATGGGGAGAGGGCTCACTCATCGGATGGGGGCGTACAAGGAGGAAGTGGCAAAGGAAGCACACTTCTTTCAGTTTTCACCGAAAGATGCCCGGTTTCCAGGCTGCCCGGCGCACCTCATGTTCTACTTAAAGCGTACGAGGGAATCTTGACCTAAGTGTATGGGGGAATCTGGACGGCACAATGAAGTTCCTCGGTCGGCCTCACGCTCACCTGCGGTGACCCCCGCCCACACACACACACACCCCAAGGCTCTCCGGATTTAATACCACGGAGCCCCCGCCTGGTACTTTCGGGCTATGAGCAGCGGCAACCAGAATGGCTGAGAAAAGCCGCCCCTTTGGGGGCGCCTCCTCATGCTGGCCTGGCTGCGACACCACCCGACGGGGATTCGCGCCTGCTTATGGCCATCACGGGCGGGAAAAGCGACGGCCTGAGGCGATGGCGGCTCCCTGCAAAGTTCTCTCGTGGAACGCCGTTGCCAAGGCCGCGCGCGGCTCAGGTCAGAGGGCGGCCATTATCGCGGCGACGCTCCCCGCCTGGCGCGTGGAAGTATGCGCGCTCGCTGTGCGGCTCAGAAGGGCGCAAAACGGGTAGATGCGCCTTTTTCCTTTCGCGAGGCGTCCTCTTGCCTCAGGAACGATGTGCTGTACTGTGATTTTTCATAACCTTGGATTTTATTAACCGTGGCCTTGTTTTGAAGAAGAAAAAACCACAATTGACTGGTGTTGTGTAAATCCTAAGCCTTGGTTTGACTATTACATGAAATTAGCTGCATTTCTGCAGCACATAATAAAAGACACGATGGGTATACATACGGGATTCTCATATAATATGATAATGTGCTAAGCCATAAAACTTTAATGGGGAGCCTCCCTGTGTCTTAATAGATCTAGCCTTAGCACAAATCCACCAGTGTAGATTCCTTTCAGGTCCTTGGTTTGTGCATTGCAGCATGCTATCGTGATTTGTTTTAAATCACAGTGCAGAGGAGTGCGGAAGACTGGTGGCTTAATTCCGATTTAATATTTATTTTGATCAGGTATAATCCACGTTGTATGCCATCTACTCCTAGTGACTACAGACTGTTTCGTGTACATAAAACTCTAACCCATATGGTCTTTTGTTCATATTAAACCATATTAGCCTTATTTACAACAATAAAATACTGTAATATTCAAAGGTAATAACTAGAAGGAATTACAGTGGTACAAATAACACTCAGCTCCCAAAAGCTCTCTAATTTTTTTTTACCACCAGTAGTTTCTAGAAGGACATTAGGGTGAATGGTTATTTGACCTCAAGAAGGAAGTCATTCTATAAGGTGGCTTACTATAAGAAAACATTGGGGGACCATTAAGAGAATTTGTTATTCACCACATGGCATGGAAGAGTCTTATTGCCAACAGCTGCTCAAGATCAAGGTCTCTATGTATAGACTTGGCCATTGTGGTTTGTAAAACTAGGGCTTATGACAGTAATCAGCAACCATGGACTCCAGTTCTATTTTTATATCTCCAGATCTCCCAAATTGCACTGCTGAAAACTAGATTTTGGCAACATGATTTTTCTTCACTTTCATTTACATATGCCTAAAATAGTGAACTAAGCCTGCTATAGGCTTAAAGCATTTTAATTTGGTAGCTAAAACACTCCCCACAGCAATGAACAAAAAATGATTAATAATT